GGGGCTTTGGGGGAAAAAATAAATAAAAAAACCAAAAAAACAAAAAAAAAACCAAAACGGCAATTTCATACTTTTTCCTGTAAGAACTCTACAGCTTGGTGACACTTCAAGGACACATTTGTATTGCTGTTTGCAAGCGGGCAGTATTCCCCATAGAACAACATCTCAGCCTTGGGTGCTGTCTCCACTATACTGTGAAATGGGGTGGCAGTTCATATACCACTGATAGGTGCACCTGTGATCCAGGTTTCCCCCTTCAAAAGCTGCCGGGCAGGGGAAGATCTGTGATTTCGAGAATAAGAGCCCTAAATCATCCTAATATGCCTCTTCTCCTATCATAACCTTTGTAGTATATGTCTTTTTTGTGTGTGTGAGGAGATCAGCCCCGTGCTAACATCTGCTAATCCTCCTCTTTTTTTGCTGAGGAAGACGTGCCCTGGGCTAACATCCGTGCCCATCTTCCTCCAGCATGCCTTGCCAAGCAGTGCGTCGGTGTGCGCCCAGGATCCGAACCGGCGAACCCCGGGCCGCTGCAGCGGAGCGCGCGCACTTAACCGCTTGCGCCACAGGGCCAGCCCCTGTAGTATATGTCTTGTGTCAGTGTTCAGGCTGCAGCTAGAAATTTGTGTCAGGAATTCTGAAGAGAAACTAGAGCTATTGCTGTCAGTTTTGGAATTATAGGTGTATAACTGATATCCAAGGAAGTTTACAGGGATTCCTTAAGAAGATGATTGAACCACAACTTTTACGATCTCATTTTAAGGGTTAGATAAAGGAATCAGCAACTTTCTACTCTTGAAGGCAGATGTCCTCATAATTCCCACACACAAATCAATATCCAGATTCTTGGTGACTATTAGTTTTATTCTCACTCCTCCTATTTGTAACTTCCTTGTAGATACTACTTTGATTCTACATTTGATACTATTTGGTACTACGTTATTTGTTTGGAAGAGGTGCAAGTTAGATGCCCTTTTAAAAAACCCAAAGAAGTAACTCCTAATCTACCATAATGCTTAGTGCATGATAGGTGCTTCATAAATACTTGCAGATTGATAGTTTGCTTAGGTGAAATGGAAATGGGGAGTTATTTACTGATGCTATAGTCTTGATGGGTTGGTGCTCTTGAGCAAAATTCTTAGGTTGGCTAGAAAACAGTGTGATTGAAATCAAGGTTAGAGGGTTCAGTTTGCTCTGTGGAAAAAAACCTGCAATCCGTAGCCATAGGCCACCCCTGTGAAAACTTGGAAGCTGTCTCTTGGGCACATGGGATGTAATTAACCACCAGGGTGAACTAGCAAGGTGAGGTGTCCTCTGGCCGTCCTTTTCATCTGACTTAGGCAGAGGCAGATGAGTGGCCGGCATTTTTGCCAGTGAGCCCTTGGAGGCCTAAGTTAGGTCTTGTCTTCTAATTATTTGTATTTCTCATAGAGCCAAGTCTTATGTCTGTTCCACAAATCTGTTGACTGATATTAGTTTAAAAGGAGAATCTGACCAAGCAAGTAAAAGACTGAAGCCTTGTTTTTGCATGTTCTGGGCCCAGGATGCTACAAACACTTACAGGCTTTACTGAAATCTTTTGAAGTAAAACACCACTTTTCTGGGACATCTTTCCTTGTGCTGGCTTAAGCCAGGTGATCTTGCTTCATGTTTGTATCCCTTGTCAGAGTGCTGTCAGGTTTTAGTGAATTATCTTGTTTATTTGCCCATCTTCTCCATTACCCTGTAATTTTGTAAAGAACATGTGCCAAGATGGTTTTCTTTACTTTGACACTGGCACTGCATAGATGGTTAATAAATTTCTTTTTTTTTTTTTAATTAATTAATTTATTTATTTTTCCCCCAGATCCCCAGTAGATAGTTGTATGTCATAGTTGCCCATCCTTCTAGTTGCTGTATGGGGGACGCGGCCTCAGCATGGCTGGAGAAGTGGTGTGTCGGTGCACGCCGGGATCCAAACCCGGGTCGCCAATAGCCGAGTGCGCGCACTTAACCGCTAAGCCACGGGGCCGGCCCTCAGTTGGTCTTCTATATAAACAGTAGTCTGCCCAGAGCGGTCTAACGGTATGTGACTTGGGCAAGTATGTGCTGGGGGCTGAACTTTTTCTCCAGGGTAGTCATTCCCAAACCTGGGGCTGTTTTAAAAATATACTTTTCCCGACCCCACCCCAGATCTACTGAATCTGAGTGCTCTCTAGTTCAAACTGCCCACGTGATTCCTATGCAGCCAGCCTGGGAATAATGTTATCGAGTATGGGCTGAGGGGCGAGAGGTGGGTAGGCTGTTGGTCGTGGGCTTGTCTCCTTTCTGCTCCTCAGCTTCATTGTCTGGGAGTTGAACTAAAAGAGATGACCTTTAGGCTCCTTCCCTTCCTAACGTTTTGTGACATATAAAAATCCTTACACTTGGGTATTAGAAAATAATTTATTTTTCCTCATAATTGTAATTGTTTTTCATAATCTTTAAAATTTGTATTCAGATAATATATTTGCTTTATTAGTGCACATAGATTTAAAACTCAAGTAATACAAGGCTTGTAACAAAAAATCAGTTTTGCCACCTCTCAGTCCTGCTCCCCGGACTACTTTCTATTCTTCTATGTTTACCTCTAAGTGATAATGCTTATACTACCATTTCTAGATTGATCAATTGTAGACGTTGATTGATTTTTTACTATGGTGGATTAGGAGTTGCTTCTTTGAGAGTTTTTTTTAAAGGACCGCCTAACTTGCACCTCTTCCAGCTGAATAATAGTGAGGGTTTTTGAAGCATGTTAGGCTTTGCTTTTTGGTTTGGGAATTGTCAATGCAGACTTGCTATAGGAGGTGACACAGTACTGTGAAGTACCTAGTGCAGTATTTAGCAGTGTTTCCATTTCTGTTTTTACTTTTGTTCTTCACCTCATGCTTCATAATGTCCTTTTGCTTTGCCATGACTTTAATTGATCAATCTTAGTTCCTAGGGCAATAAAACATTTGAATCCCATTCTGCTTTTCATGACTCAAAAAAAATGTCGTGTAAATTGTTATAATAGTTTAAACTGTTTATCTAATAATTATGTAATTGTGGAATGCAAGGAGGGTGGAGGAAATACTGACGATTTTGAGTGCATGTACAGTCACAGTAGTTGTCAGTGAATTCTCACAGCAGCACTGAGAAGTAAAATAAGTGCCCCTTATTTTACAGATGAAGGAGCTGAAGCTCAGAGACACGAACTGGCCCATGGTCTCATAGCTAGTTACTAAAAGGGTTCGGATCCCCATCAGTTTGACTTCAGAACCCACTATAGATGTTTATCAATTTTTTTAAACTTAATTAAAAATTGAAACATAAGATCCATGCAGAAAAGAGCAAATCATAAGTGTAGAGCTCAATGAATTATCAAAATGAAGCATTCCTGTAACCACCTCTAAGTTAAGCAACAAAAGATATTAACCAGCACCCCAGAGGGCACCCTCGTGTTCCCTCCCAATTGCCACTCTCCTGCCGTTCCTCCAAAGATAACCATTATCATCACTTCTGACGCTGTAGATTTATTTTGCTACAAGTGATAGCGGTTTTTGAACAAAATTTGATGTTACTCTTAGTTGTGTGTCCTCTTATATTTTGTTACCACACCTAGTAATTCAGTGTCAATTTTTCTTTAAGGAACCCAATCTCTTCCATTTCTTTCTCCACAGTAAAAAAGGAGTATAAATTTCGTGCCATCATATCAACCAAGGCCCACAGAATGCCTATAGCAGCACTGTGGTTCCATAGTTAAGAGACTTTGACTTAGAGAGGTACTAATTTGCATGATTGTGTGAATCCCCACCAAGATTCTAGAGCCCAGGTGAAGGAGGAGAGAAGTTTTTTTTTTTTTTTTTTTTGTGAGGAAGATCAGCCCTGAGCTAACATCTGTGGCCAATCCTCCTCTTTTTGCTGAGGAAGATTGGCCCTGGGCTAACATCCGTGCCCATCTTCCTCTACTTTATATGGGACGCTGCCACAGTGTGGCCTGACAAGCGATGCGTCAGTGCGCACCCAGGATCCGAAGCTGTGAGCCCCGGGCCACGGAAGCAGAACGAGCGCACTTAACGGCTTCCACCACCGGGCTCGCCCCCGAGAGAAGTTTCTTGACTGATTACTTCCTCAGGAAATCCTTCTCTGATGTCCTAAGTTAAATTTATTATAGGTTCTCATAGCTCTGTTCTTTCCTTCTAGTACTCATTAGAGTTGTAGTTTTGCATTTGATTGTTGCAATTGTTATTATTATGAAAGTTTACTTTCCCTAGTAACTAAAAGTTCTGAGGAAAGATGTGTCTGGTTTTACTTACCATTATGCAGTGCCTGGGATGTAGTAGACACTGGGTAAATGTTTGTTGAATTTGATGAATCTAATACAGTGTTCTCAACCATTTTAATCTGCCCCAGCACACCTGTGGAATATGACTTGCTTCCATCTGATCTTTTTCTGAAGGAGAGCAGGTAGTGTGGGGTAGTGGCTAATACATCACAGGCCCTGGAATGAGAATGCCTGGGCTCATACGCCAGCGCCACCTCTCACCAGCTTCATGACCTTGGGCAAATTCTTAATCTGTCTGTGCTCCAGTGTCCTCATCTGTAAAGTGTGGCTGGTATCTGTTCCATAGGGTTGTCATGAAATTTGCATGAGAGAATTCACGAAAAGCTTTTAGAACAGCATGTGACATGTAAAAGTTATTACTTTTGAAAAAATGAGCATCTTATGTACATCTGTTCATTGTTATATATTGAATATTGATCTTCAGGGAAACTGAGAAAAGAAGTCCCTGGACTGTCATGGTCTTTTTGATCCAGTGACCCAGTGGCACCCTGAAACAAAGCCATTCTTGGTCCTGAAGAAGTATCACTAAGAAATAGTGGAAACATCATGTGATTGGTTGTTTTGGTAGCCATCCATTTTGGTAGGATGAGGCATTCGTGAATGCTGTCTGCTTTACACCTGCCATGGTAAATTTGAGTCTTTGTTTCTCTTGCAGAGGAAGTGGCCAAGTTGGAGAAGCACTTGATGCTTCTCCGACAAGAGTATGTCAAGCTACAGAAGAAACTGGCAGAGACAGAGAAGAGATGCACTCTTTTGGCTGCACAAACAAACAAGGAAAGCAGCAGTGAGTCCTTCATCAGCCGCCTGCTGATGATCGTGGCTGACCTCTATGAGCAGGAGCAGTACAGGTGAGCTCCTGGATACAGGGCCAGTTTGGGGAAGCAAGCCCTTTTCCTTATTCCCAGGCCACATTGCAACTTCTCCTCTCTTACTGACTTTCTTCCAAAGTTATTTCTCTCTAATCAGGATATTAGCAAGCCTTTAATCTCTAGAAGGTAAGCTCCTTGAGGCAAGATTTTGTCTTTTTTGTTTCCTGCTTATCTTCAGCAGAGAGTGTAGGAGTCATGGTTATAGGATCACTAATGCAGATGGGAATTAGCTTACATGTCCAGGGATTCAGAGGGGAGAGGTCACTTTCTCTTGGAATAGTCAAAGAAGGAGTCTTGGAACTAGTGGGCAGTATCACATGACGGTTGAGGGTGGACTCTAGAGCCACGCAGCCTGTGTTAGAAGCTCAGCTGGCCACTTATGGGCTATGAGACCTGCAGTTATATGACGTGCCTCAGGTTCCTAATCTGTAAAATGGGGATAATCTTACTATTACTTACCTTAGGGTTGTTGTGAGGATTAAATTAATAAATATGTGTTTTAAGTAGTTGGAACAGGGATTGGCATATGGTAAGTACTCAGTTGTTAGCTATTGAGTTTCGAGGTAAATGTTAAAGGCTGGGTAGAGTTTAATAGATAAAGACAGTGCTATTACTAATAGGGCGAGTGGCTGAGAATAGGCTCAAACATGGGAATGTGTAGAGGATTTAGAGGATAGTGAGGGGGCCATTTTAGGGTACATTGTGTAGGGGAGCACTGGGAGAGGTGGAAAGGTAGGGTGGATTGTATTGGGATGCCAGGGTGAGGAACTGGGACTTGGTCCTCTAGGCAGTGTTGAACAGAGTGTTTTTGAGTTGTAGGACTGTCGTAATCGAAGTGGTGTTTTAGGAAGATTAACCTCCTAACATTATATAGGCAAAATTATAAAGAGAAGAGAGAAGGAGAGCATCTGTGATGTTGCGAATAGTCCAGACCAGAATGATGAAGGACTGAATTGGGACGATGGCAGTGGATATAGAAAAGAAACATGGACATGAATATGCATAGAAGGAAGGGTTTGGCTACTAGAGAGATGGATGATTGGACTAGGTAAGACTTAGTAAAATTACAAAAAAGATTATGACATTTATTATTTATTTATTTATTTATTTTGTGAGGAGATCAGCCCTGAGCTAACATCTGCCAATCCTCCTCTTTTTTTGCTGAGGAAGACTGGCCCTGGGCTAACATCCGTGCCCATCTTCCTCCACTTTATATGGGACGCAGCCACAGCATGGCTTGCCAACGAGTGCATCGGTGGGTGCCTGGGATCCGAACCGGCGAACCCTGGGCCGCCGCAGCAGAGCGCACGCACTTAACCACTTGCGCCACCGGGCCGGCCCCGATTATGACATTTAATATAGACAAACTTCAAATTGCCATCTACCATCTTAATCATTTCTAAAAGAAAGAAAAATTTAATACCCCAAAAATAGGAAGTATATACTCTGAGTAAAGACAACCGTTTAAATTGAATGGATGTATCTACTTGTAAATATAGTTCATTGTCTTTTTTTTTTTTTTCCTTCCTTTTTTTTTTTTCTGTGGACAAGTGAAAACTTTCTTTCCACTTGCTGGGGGAAGCCTGACATATTTCTGTTAAGAAAATCTCTCCTCCTCTCCAAGGCTCTTCCACATTAGAACTCCCATCATTTACTTTCTCAATTACTTATCAATTGATTGCATTCATTATACTGTAGTCCTTCTAGGAGACTAGCTGGGAGTCAGACTAGGCAGTTTCCTTTTCTGGCCACTTTTTACCTACTCAGCTATAGTATGATCTTCTGGTTCCAGTGGGTCTCTATTCAGCTTCTGAAACCTGTCCTTTATCTAAAGAAGGTTAAATACCTTTGTTATCTACAATTGAATATCAGGTGGGGAACCTTCAGAAAGGACTGAGATTTTGAGATGGAGTAACTGAAATTGGAAAATCAGTTTCTAAAGCAGATGCTCTTTTACCAAGATATGGGGGCGGTACCTTTGTTCTATAAACATGCATTTTGTTAAAGAATTTAAATAGTATTTTTATGTATATCTCAGTAACTGGAGTAACTGAAGAATTGGTGTTAAAATTTTTAGAATGAGAAATGTTGAAGAAATTGGTATATTTCTTTTATTTTTACTTAAGTTTGGGAGAAGGCTTTTGTCCCATAATATAGTTAAAAATGATGGTTATATGTAGTTATTTACTGCATTCATTCTTTCAGCAACCAAGCTTATAATTTTTCCTCTTAAAGTAATTGAGAAACTCTAGGAAGAAGCTCTTTATTTATGCTTCTTCTCCAGTAACAACATCCTAGTATCCATATTTTAAATGGAAATGCTCTTTAATTGACTAGAATGAAGTTTTAAAACAATGACTAGCCTCCTAATTGTTTTTAAATAGTCTTCATAGAATTGATTTCTCCAATTTTCCATTTTTGAATTGTATTTTTTTTTTTTTTTTTTTTTTTTTTGCTGAGGAAGATTTGCCCTGAGCTAACATTGGTGCCAGTCTTCCTCCATTTTGTATGTGGCTCGCTGCCACAGCATGGCTGACGAGTAGTGTATGTCTGTGCCCAGCATCCGAACCCGTGAACCGGGCTGCCGAAGTGGAGTGCGCCAAACTTAACCACTACGCCATGGGGCCAGCCCCTTGAATTAAATTGAAAATTTAAAATAATTTTTAAAAATTATTATTAGAAATTATTCATGAGGGGCTGGCCCCGTGGCTTAGCGGTTAAGTGCGTGCACTCTGCTGCTGGCGGCCCGGGTTCGGATCCCTGGCGCGCACCGACGCACAGCTTCTCCAGCCATGCTGAGGCCGTGTCCCACATACAGCAACTAGAAGGATGTGCAACTATGACATACAACTATCTACTGGGGCTTTGGGGGGAAAAAGGAGGGGGATTGGCAGTGGATGTTAGCTTAGAGCCGGTCTTCCTCAGCAAAAAGAGGAGGATTAGCATGGATGTTAGCTCAGGGCTGATCTTCCTCACAAAAAAAAAAAAAAATATTCATGAAATCCTTATCTTTATTTCCCTTTGGTATGTTAGACTACAAAAGAGAAAAAATTTTGATCCAACATCTATGAATAGTAGGAATTTTGTATAAATATTCATTTTTATAATTTTGTGGCTAAAAGTCAGACTTGTGGCTGAAACAGTAAACAGTGAATATTCATTTAAGTTATTAGAATTTAATACTTTATAAATAAATTTAGAGTTTACAAATTATTTGTGCTTTGTAAATAGCCAGCTTCCTGTTTTCATTGAATTTTTCTAACTTTTACCATAGAATATAATTTGAGACAGAGTTTTATGTTCTGTTTTAAATAGCATATCAATTTTATTTCTTCTTTATTTGTTGATTAATAATGTTCTACTGTGTTAACAGTAGTTTGTAATAATTTGAAATAATAAATACCCTATTACTCTTCTGGTTTAATATAATTAGTTGCAACTTGGTCTTTAATAGAACTGTAATTGTTGAAATGCTTATGTAATTATAAAGTATGTTCTAGACAGTGCTTTTGTGGTGTAAAATGTGTCTGCATCAAGCATTATATAGAAACAATATTCTGTTTGGGTCTCCTTTTAAGTGGGTGAGTTAATTCGTGTAATAATTTTTTTTCTCTGTGTGTATTTAATTTCTAAATGCTTTCCAACCTAACAAATTATTTTAAAGGGAAGTATGCAAATAAAGAAAACATATAAATACAAGCAGGATGATGATAATTAATGATTTTGGATTGTTGCCAACATAGCCATGTGGCACATACATGCTTGTGTCAGCCCAGTGGGTCATCCTTAGGTTTTTGTTTAACTGCCCAGATGCTTTCTTCCTTAGCATTTGACATTTCAGAGTTAAACATAAATAACTATTTGGAAAGCTCTTTTCATAAAATGTCATAAATATGGAAACATGTTTGAAAATAAGATTTCTCCCATCCCATTTCTTTATAAATGGTTGAGTAAAAAATGGCCAATAATAGGTCTGAATGTTTCTGGTGAGAACAAGAATCTAGGTATTTGGTTTCATACTCTTGACTGCTTTGTCAAAGCTAATTTGTTCATACTTTTTCTGTTTAACCTTGTTAAGCATTAATATGGTATGGAGCACAGGAGCACTGTAGTCTCAGAGCTGTCATCACAATCTTTAAGCTTCTCGCTCTCTCCCTCTTAGTTTATCTTGATTTATTCTGCATAAAACCTCTTCAACTTTTTATATGCGTATTAATCATCCTATTTAACTTGGAGGTTCACCACCGTAAGAATCCCATTATGGGATGTCTTAGAAAGAAGAACATCGCATGTGAACAAAAGCTAGAAGATAGAAGTGGAAAACATGCGTAGCAACATATTATAAACATGACCCATCAGAATTCACTGCTAGCATAGAGAAATAATTTTGGTGTAATTTTCCTTTCTTTTGCAGATGCACGTTGATCTGTCAATACCCATAGATGTATTAGAATTCTAGCTATATCTAGTTATGATGACATTTTTCTTTTCATACCTGTGGATATTTTTTTCCATCAGTGATCTGAAGATAAAGGTTGGAGGCAGGCACATCAATGCTCACAAGTTTGTCCTGGCAGCCCGCAGTGACAGCTGGAGTCTGGCCAATTTGTCTTCTACCGAGGAGCTGGACCTGTCAGGTGAGCCTCTGACTAGTCGGTTGGGGACTCAAAACTGCCAGCACAAGAACTCTTGGCAGAAGTTTATGGTGTGTCATTTTGAAATATTTGTGGTTTAATGAACATAGAATACTTAAGAAAATTCTTATCAATTGATGGTAACCATTAACTAATTAAATAGTGAATCAGTAGGTTGTACTTCGTGGATACTTCTGTTTAATGCTTGGCTAATAAATCATAAATATTTGATATTTATGATATCATTGTATATCATTGTATATCATTGTATATCATTGTATATCAAATATTGTATATCAAATAAGATATACAATATTCTTATAGTTTATAAAATATAAATATCTGTCCAAAAACTCATCTAATAGTATGTTATAAATATGGGAGCATGTGTAGAAAATAATTTTTCTTCCACTCCAATAAAAAGTCCTGCTCTTCAGTTGCTTAAAATTTAATCAAAGCTGCCAAAGTACTTCTGGCCTACAGGAACTGAATTCAGAAGTAACAGTTACTCCATGGGCCGGCCCCGTGGCTTAGCGGTTAAGTGCACGCGCTCCGCTGCTGGCGGCCCGGGTTCAGATCCCGGGCGCACACCGACGCACCGCTTCTTTGGCCATGCTGAGGCCGCGTCCTATGTACAGCAACTAGAAGGCTGTGCAGCTATGACATACAACTATCTACTGGGGCTTTGGGGGGGGGGGGAAGTAACAGTTACTCCAAAGAATAAGATTATTCTTTCTTCTTTTTTTTTTGGGTGAGGGAGATTCGTCCTGAGCTAATGTCCATTGCTAATCTTCCTCTTTTTGCTCAAGGAAAATTAGCCCTGAGCTAACATCTGTGCCAGTCTTCCTCTGTTTTGTATGTGGGTCTCTGCCTCAGCATGGTTGACAAGTAATGTAGGTCCATGCCCAGGATCTGAACCTGTGAACCTGGGCTGCCAGAAGCAGAGCACACTGAACTTAACCACTATGCCAGGGGACTGGCCCCCAAGAATATTCTTTTTTTAGCACCAAAGGATGAGCATCAGTCTTCAGAATTTGAATACGTGCATTGAGCCGTTTAGTGTTTTTACTTAATTGTTTTATGCCACATTATGTTGTGTAGAATTTGGGTAAATGTGGTAAGTAGACTTAAAAACATCATTTTCAAAAGTTGACTTCAAAGTTGCATTTTCATTGAGTACTTGCCTAATTGCCGTTAAAAAAAAAAAAGCAGGGGCCGGCCCGGTGGTGTAGCGGTTAAGTGCGCACACTCCACTGCGGCGGCCCGGGGTTTGGATCCTGGGCGCACACCGATGCACCGCTTGTCAAGCCATGCTGTGGTAGCGTCCCATATAAAGTAGAGGAAGATGGGCATGGATGTTAGCCCAGGGCCAGTCTTCCTCAGCAAAAAGAGGAGGATTGGCAGATGTTAGCTCAGGGCTGATCTTCCTCAAAAAAAGCAAATTTTAAATTTAATTCTGCTCTTATAAAGTATGGTAAGGAGACTACCCAGGCGTTAAGATATGAGTTACTTGCAGAAGTGATCAGCTGTGTGAAAATTCTGCTGAATTATGTCTTTGTTCAAAGGGTTTGTCAAATCAGAAGGTACTGTTTTTCATGTGCAGTGCTAGGAACACTGAGATAATTATAACACAGTCCTTGCCATACAGAGCTCATACTCTGAGGAAATGGGCTAATAACAAATCATTTCAGGCCAGGGCTGTGTATAGTAATATAACCACTGTATGTCTAAGGTACAGAAGAGACTAACCTGGGCTGATAAGGTGTCAGAGGTGGCTAATACCTGAGCAGTGTTGCAAAGGTTAAGTAGGCATTTATCTCAAGGATTTAGGGGAGTAGACGTCTAATGCTTCTCCACTGTGAGTGAACTGTGTCTCTTTATGATCATTTCTAGGGTTTAACCTGAGGTCCGTAATTCAGAGTTGTAAACACACAAATATACATACATGCATACACACGTGCATATGCATTCATGCCTATAGCTAAAACATCTGCTTGGGAAACAGTGTTTACTGGAAGGGCACTGGTCTACATGATTGAAATCTCTGAGCAGAGCTTTTCTTTTTTAAAAGTATAATCTTTTGAAACCATATATCGTTGACTCCATATACAACAGAACCATGGATAACTTTTACAACCCATTAGATCACAAAGTGTTCTTCACAGAATGTGTGATAGGATCTTGATTACATGAACATGATTACATGAACAGACATTTTACAAAGATTAAAAGAGATAATAAAATATGGAAAATATTCAACTTTGTTAGAAAAAAGTTTAGAATAAGTCACCATCTTTTGATATCTACATTATCAAAAATAGATGATCCTAGTAGTTGTGAGGCTAATGAAATTGGTACCCTTGCACATTGCCGGGCATGTTATAAATGGGTAAGACAGTTTTAGAAAGCAGTTAGGCAGCCGAGCAATGAAATAGTCTTACTTGGTTGTTTTTTGTATTTTTTTTTTTTGGCTGAGGGAGCTTCTCCCTGAGCTCACATCTGTGCCAGTCCTCCTCTATTTTGCATGTGGGTCGCCGCCACAGCATGGTCCCTGACAAGTGGTGTGGGTCTGTGCCTGGGAACCAAACCCAGGCCACCAAAGCAGAGCGCGCCAAACTTAACCAGCAGGCTACAGGGCAGGCCTGTAGTCTTACTTTTTTTTACCTCATCTGACTTCTGTCAGATGGATTCTGCTATAGGTAATTCAGACAGCTTATATGTTCATCATAGTTTTATGTGTAGTTGTGAAATATTGAACGCAACCAAAATGAATAAGAGTGGGGAAAATGCAATATGAATGTTCCCCGGAACAAGCAAAATTACTTAAGAACAAAGAATTATCGCATTAAGGTATAAAAAGCCTAGTTTAAACATTGATTTTAAAATTTTGCTTTTGATCTTTTAGTACATCATAACATTTAAGAGCTGCTTTGTCAGTGACTGTCCACAAGATTGCATCACTGTGAATCAGGAGATTTTCTAGAGTTTAGGAAAGTGTAATGTTAATGCCTTTACTTGTCCCTGGACTCCCCTCCTGTTGTAAATAAGTGTGGTTTGGCCGGCCCTGTGGCTTGGTGGTTAAGGGCGCGCACTGCAATGCTGGTGGCCCGGGTTCGGATCCCGGGTGCGCATCGAGGCACCTCTTCTCCGTCCATCCTGGGGCCGAGTCCCACATACAGCAACTAGAAGGATGTGCAGCTATGACATACAACTATCTACTGGGGCTTTGGGGGGAAAAAATAAAATAAATAAAATCTTAAAAAAAAAAAAAAAAAAAGTGTGGTTTGAGCCCTGCCGTGAGGTTCGCTTTCAGGAGTGATCTGCTGCAGAGCAAACGTTTTTGTGGCTTTGGTAGATCAGGCACCTATCAAGGTAGCTGATGCTAGAGCCTATGGCATCTTTGCTTTTCTATTTAAGTTCATCTTTGAATTGTGTCATGGGGGGGTTCCAAGGAGGTGGTGGCATATGTGGACCTGTTCGTGTTTAGTTGTATGTTTTGCCCAGCAGTCCTACTGCATTGCCTGGGTGGGCGTAGGTGTGATTGCCTAAATCTGGGGTTGCAGCAGCTGAAACTGCCTAGGAGGCTTGTGTATGTGATACCTGGAAGCACTGACACTGCATGGCTGGCCAGCAGTTTGAGGGAGATTGGAAGTGGGCTCTTGTAAACAAGTATATAAATAGTGTAAAAGCTATGTTTAAGTGGTTGAGTTTTTTTTTTTTTCCTGAGGAAGACCGGCTCTGAGCTAACATCTATTGCCAATTCTCCTTTTTGTTTTTCCCCCAAAGCCCCAGTAGATAGTTGTATGTCATAGTTGCATATCCTTCTAGTTGCTGTATGTGGGACGTGGCCTCAGCATGGCCGGAGAAGCGATGCGTTGGTGCGCGCCCGGGATCCGAACCTGGGCCGCCAGCAGCAGAGTGTGCGCACCTAACTGCTAAGCCACGGGGTTGGCCCCTAAGTGGTTGAACTTTTTCCACACTAATGGACTTGATAAAATCATTTTAGGAATTTATTGGTGTTTTGTTTCTTCAAAATTATTCCATTTATATTACAAATTTTGAGTGGCAGGCACTTTTCAAGATGCTAGGGATATAGCAGTGAACAAAATTAAATTCCTATTTGCGTGGAACTTAACGTTCTTGGAGAGGTTGACTTTCTAAGCTCCACATTTTCTTTTGAAATTCTTGTGTAATTGGTATTTCTTAAAATTGAAAGCAAGCACGACTTTAATTATGTTAATTATTATGAGAATTTAGCACATGTTGGTGAAAATACCATAGGAATTATATACCAAGTATTTAAAACATATTTGAGTATATGAAAGTTTTCTTAAGATGCACCTTGTTCAAACAAGTAAAATGCTTTGTGCATGATTTGATGTACTGACAAAGGCACAGTCACTTCCGTAGGGTTCTTAGCATAAATGCGTAACCTCAGTCTAACTATGCAAAAGCATCAGACAAACTCAGATTGAGGAACATTCCACAAAATAACTGGCCAGTGTTACTCATATATGTTAAGGTCATGAAAGACAAGATAAGACTTAGGAACTGTGATAGATTGGAGAAGGCTAAAGAGACATGACAGCTAAATGCAATGTGGAATCCTCAATTGGATTCTGGCCCATTAAAAGGACATTATTGGGAAAATTGGCAAAATTTGTAAAGGTTTGTAATTGGTTAATAGTATTGTATCGGTTCTAATTACATGGTTTTGATAATGGTACTATGGTTATGTAAGATGTTGATATTAGGGGAATATGGGTAAAGGGCTTATGGGAACTGTCTACAACTTTTCTCTAAGTCTGAAATTATTTCAAAATATAGAGGTAAAAAAGACAAAAATTTGCTTTTTATGTCTTACTGATTATTTTAAGTATAAAGATATAAGTTTATAAGGATACTGATTGATCAGCTGGGAAGAGAAAGAATATAACCTATTAGCTCCACACAGTATAACAAATCTTGAGGCCAAGAGGAGAGCACTGTAGTGACTTCTTTGT